TGTTTAGTGCAGTTGCAACGTATTAGGTTTCATAAAATCTTACATTTTACTTTCAATTTTTATAAATTTTTTGTCTTACACCCTGTTTTCTTCCTCCCTGTTTACGCTCCCCCCCCCCCCTTGTTTACCCCCCCCCCGTTTACCTCCCTGTTTACACCCCCACCTCCCTGCCAGTTTACCACAACCACCATTTGCACCCCCCTTAGGGTGGATTATTTATTGTTAGACTTTGGGGGAGGGGGGGTTTATGATTTACACCCCTCCAGTTTACCCCTTCTCATTTTACCCCCCCCCCCCCCCCCTCCCATCTTAGTTTAACCCCCCATCCCCCCCCCCCCCCCCCTCCCCCCCACCGAGTAACCTTCCTCCCCTTGACGATAATGGCATGAAGACTTTGATAATCCTTTTTTAGCTGCTTTTTTTTAGTTCTTGCAGATGCAGAACTTGGATTGTGACTATTTTGATTTTGTTTTTTGTCATTAAAATATCTTCAGATTTCTTGCTCCTTACTTGCTTCTTTTCACTTAACTATTGGTTTGTTAGTTTTCTGAGAAAAAAGCGTGTTTATAGTATCGAAGTGATCGCCCGCATAAAATTGCTGCTCGCAAAAATTGAATTATAAACCAAAACTTTTGTTTTGCATTTAGAGAAAATTGTGATAGCTGATTGTGACAAGTCTACTCTGCAAAATTACTTGAAGCAGGAAGACAAACAATACTTCTTGGGCCGCAAAATCGGCCTGATTGTTGACGAGTGTTTGGTGTCATCGCTGCAGGAAACGCTCCAAATAGGAGACGGACTGGTGGGTTTGTTTCCATACTTCGATTTGGTGTGCATGAACGTATCGATCGGAGGTCAAATGGAGTGCAGACATGGGTTTTATGGCATCATGTACCCCGCTGGCTTCCGCAGATATGTGCTCAACGTGGGATACAGAAGCAGCAGCAGTATTCTGCACTTCAACTCAAAGATGCTGCACAGAATAACAAGGTGACCGTGTTTTATCAAGGTTTTCCCACGGGTTGTTAGGATAATTTTGGCAATCTTATTGATGATTAAGACTTTCTGACCAAAAAAAAATAAAAAATTATCTGGAACTCTCGTTTTTTGAAAATCTGCGCATAACTAAATCAAAATTTCAAAACTTTCCAATGATTATCAATCATTAGCAACTTTAGGCGAAACATAAAGTAATTTAACACACTTAATTAAGCGCCTATAAACAAAGAAATTAACTCGCAATCATCAGTTTTTGGTCTAGAAGAAAAGAAAATTTTCAAAATTTACCATTAAAGATACATGATTTAAGTTTTGTTCGGTTTATTTTCATGGTATAGAAAAGGTTTGACTAGCATTTTTTATGTATCTCACAGAGCCTTTTTGAGATCCAGTATGGTGCAGCTACAAATAGTTCCGTATAAATCAGTAGTTCTGTTTAAACAAAAACAAAAAATGACTGGTGAACTTATCTAGTTTGTAGCACTAATTAATAGACATGCGTGCGTTTGACATTCATAATTATACGAAGGTTGCCATGGCGCATTGAAAATAGCTGACGAAACATTGAATTGTATCTCGCTTAATTTGTTTAAGTGGCCTATAAACTATGATAGGTTCATAATTTTCTGTTGTCGACACAGTCTCTTTTTCTCAGTAGCCGGTATGTACTCCTGCGTATTTGCCTAATGAGTTATGACCGAAGTTTAACTCATAGAGTAATTTCGGATAGGGTACACCGTCTGCTGTCACGCTATCTTATTTTCGGCCGGATAGATTCGTGCAACTTCTTAGTCTAATACCGATCCTAATCTTACTCTTATATCTACTAGTCTCAGGGTGTTTAACTAGTCTCTGCTAGGCTCAATAGATCTAGAGTATACTGGCTTATTGCGATTGCTAGAAGGTCTCTTGGAGAGGTAACTAATTTCTAAGTTAAATTCAAACCTCTCTGGTGCTGAAATTACAAGTAATTTCAGCACTTATAAATAAGTGGGTTGTTAGTTAGATGGATCATGATTGGTTAATATTAAATATTTTATAGTGATAAAAAATCCAATTTATAACCAATAATAAAAAGTAGTTTAGATCTGGTTCCACCCATCCGGGGTTTACAGAGTTTTGAATCTTTTATCTTCTATCTGTAATGAAAATGGATGATGGTCGTTGGTATTTGGCGAGCATCATTTCTTGTTTTGTTCTTGGAGATGAAAGCTCCAGGAAGCTGGAGTCGTCGATAGGAAGTTGTTAGTTTGTTTGTTCGACGATGGCTGCGATCGCCGGTGAAATCAATCTGATTTCAAAATGGTTTGCTATGATTGTTTGTTCTGCTTGGGCGGAGAACTGATCGAGTATCACTCTTGTCTGGGAATGGCGTGAAGATCGTGTTTGGAGGGAATGCCTTGTAACTCGGATCTGTACGTATACTTGAACATCGAGTTGGTCATTGGTCTGATTCAATGAAGTCCTTTTCTGCGAAGTCAAGTCGTACTCTAAATCCTTTTTTGAGTCGTGATTGTGAGCGGCATGTAGGTTGTGTTTAGCCATTCTGTAGGTTGAGTGTGATGTTGTCGTCTAGTCTTTGGATGCTCGTCTTTGCGGTTGTTCGCGATCTATGTATTGCATATTATAATTAACATTTTATAAAATTTTGTTAATTCTATTTTTTAGTAGTGATTTTGGTTAATTGTTTTCCCAAAGGCGTTTTAGTTTTAGTTCAGTTATTTTTAAGAGTTACTCACCCTTGAGTACCTCTTGTCAAAAATATGATGTGGTCACAAAGCGTGGATGTAGCACGGTGGGTTAGGCCGGCTATAGAGCATGCTCAGGACGTCCTCTCTGGTGGGTTAGGCCAGGAGTGGGAGTATGATTTCTTGCTGATTTTTTAAGGGGTCCTGTTTTGTGCTAACGTTTTTGTTATTTTATTTATAGTTTTCCTTTTGTTACTTTGGTTGTGTCCTTTTCTCATAAGTCAAATTTTTTTTGTTTGGTCTTGTCTTGCGACTTTTTAGTGTTTTATGATTTCTTTTTTAGACTTGGTAATAGTCTTCAAAAGCATAAATTATCCAGTTTTAAGCTGGTTTAATCCGGTTTGTGTACCGTAGGTTTCTTTTCTTAGTCATGCTGTTAGTTTGTGGTTTATGGTGTTTAGTTAACTGCATTGGTTAGTTTGGTTATTATATAATTCCATTCCAACCGGGTTAAAGGAAAGTTGGAAACCTGTTATCGCTTGTTTGAGTTGTTGTTAGTGCAAAAATAAAACTTAAATTCATTATTTAAAACAATTCTTCCTGGGCGAGTTGTGCGATTGTGGATAGAATTATTGTGCGGGTGAACAGAAGATATATAAAAGGTTAGTACTGCATTTCTTTGAATAAATTTACTACTTTAAATTTAAATTTTACTGCTTTGTGGGGATTGAAAATTATAAATTGATTATTATCTTTTTGAATTTTACTACATTTAGGGAAATAATTTATAGATGAATTTATTGCTTTCGAATTGAATTTTACTGCATCATTTAGTGCTATAGGTTTAATAGAGTTCAATCTGAAAAAAGAGTCTGTATTTTTATTTCTTTTTTCTTCTTGTTGTAGGTGATCATGGGTGAAGACTACAGAAAATGTAAACTAATTATAAAGAATGGTTAGTTTTTATTTTAAATTAGTTAGATTTTAAAATATTAAATTCATACTTACCTTAGTCGTCGGGGAAAAATCTGTGCGGGAAAACATTGTGAATAGCGTCTGATGTAGTTAGTAATTTTGCTAGTATGTGTATGATATTTTTAGTTTGCACCAGTGGCCAAAGCAATTGAAGTGCTTTTATGGTTTTTAGTTCTTCGGTGCCTACTGCAAATTCATGAGGTGTGATCTGGATTAGATTGTAAATTTTATGATTGTCTTTAGTGTTGTGGATGAATTCTAAAATGGGTACTCGTATAGGTTGAATATATTCATGCGGGACTATTAGGGGACGGGCTTCTTCGTCGTTGAAAGCCTTGGTGAGGGGACAATATATATACATCTGGGTGATCGGGTCGTAATTCCGGAGGATGCCTTGAAGGTTAGTATTTTTAATACAATACGTGAAGTTTAGAAAAAATGGTGATGTGTATTTAGAATTGATAAACTGAAATCTGTGGTGGGGTTGTCGCGATGGTGTGTGTAAATGAAAATGATTTTGGATAAATCGATAATATGTGTAGGTGTGCGTTTGTTTAGTTCGTAACATGATCTCGTGTGAACAGTGCAAACACGTTCTTTTGGTGTGAGAAAATGAAATTTTAGTGAAAAAGTTTGAAATTTTTTGTGAAATGTGAAATGATTCGTATGCTTGAATATCTGATAATGCTTCTGAAATAACGTGATCATGCTTTTTATCTAGTATGTTAAGTGTGAATAAGTAAGGTGTTTTTATGAAAAATTTCTCTGTTAGTTGTGGGCTAGCAAACTGATCGTCGTCAAGAAATTGGTCTTGATTAGATCTAATGATGTTATATCATAATATTCAATTGAAAAGTCGTTAGCTCGGGTGCAGTGAATGTTTTTAGTAATTTCTTATATCCTACGTATGTAAATTGTCTGGGTGAGAGTGCTGTGGTTAATCTGAATAATTCGTCCTTATTTCTCTCAATATCTTTTGTGGTGTTATAGAGTGGTAGCGTAAGGAGGCTAGTAAAATTATAATAAGCTGTCCAATGAAGTGTGGGTATTAATACATGTTCATCTACAAAGTGACGTGGTTCAGGGTTAGGGTAGGATTGATTTAGTGAATATTGGGGAAATAAAGGTGGGGTTATTTGAAGATAATTTGTAGTATTGGTGTGGTCTGGATGGTTAATATATTCTCGGGCGGTTCCGGGTTTGGATGAAAACGGGTGATTTGGGAATTTTCGTTTAAGGTTCCATAAGCTCGGTTAGTACTAGTGGATGTTTCTGTTGATGTGGATGATTGAGCGAGTGATGGAGTGTTATCTGAAATTGGTGTAGGTGTTGGTGGATTTGATGATGTGATTGTTTATGATAGTTGGTGAATGATGAGAGTGTGGGGAGATAGTAACTGTTGTTGTAATGTTACAAAATTATCTAATTCATTAGAAACTTGAAAATTCTCTAGGGAATTGTTGATGGATCGTTCGTTATGAAATGGGGAGTAGGTTGGAATCACTTGAGAAGGAGTGTAGGGAGATGTACATTGGTTTTGAGGTTGAATAGGTTGAAAAGGGGGTTTTGAGAAGGCTGAGGAGGTGGTTTGGGTGTGGGTAGAAGGGGATGGTTCGGAGTCTGCAAATTCATTGGGAGTTTCTACATCGGAGTTATTAAATTGTGATATTGTTTGAAAAACTGTGATATCTGAGTTAGTATCAGAATTCATGCCTGATGATGTACTAGTTCGTGGTGAATCAGGTGGCGGAAAGCAAAAAGTGGGATAATATGGATGGGATTTTGAAGGTTGGCAGGGTGGGAGTTTGATCGGTGGAGTGATCCAATTTGTCTGCTCATCGTGGGCTGAAAAAATGATTATTTTGAGACTGAAAAGTTGTGGTATGGGGCTGTTTAATAATTTGTTCATTTTGGGGGTGTTGTGTCACTATAAGTTGAATAGGGCTTTGTACGTGACTTGGTCTTATGTTTGGGGGGTTTGTGATTGCTAAGTTCCTAAAATTTCGTGAGACTAATGATAATGGATGGTTATGATGGAGGTTTGGTAAGTGTGGTGCTGTGGGTAATGCATTTGTTTTATTGTTTGATTCGTCGCATGTGTTCGGGTTTGTTGATTGTTTTGTATTGTATTCTTTGATTTGTGCGTCTAAGAGGATTTTATTTATTGATGATGAAAATATTCCAAAAAATCCATCAAGTAATATGCGTGCTACGCTGGCTTGTTGGTTTACTTGTGTATGTATTGCACATGTGTTATAGATTCCTTTTAATAATGAGAAAAAAAATCCAATAAAGTTAAACATAGCGTATAAGATAGTCAATCTTTCT